CCAGGTGTGGCGATGCCATCGGAGGGTTAACACCCAGGCATGTGGCATAGATGCTGTGCTGCAAACACTGAAAAGCCATTAAGTTCTCATTTAAGATCACGGAGTCTTCTAACTCAAAGCTCCACTTTTTGAAAAACAATTAAATTTTCTGGGGTGACGCTGGTTAACAGGATCAGACAGGCTCCCAGTGCACGTGTCTGCTACGTGACCTGAACATTGCACTGAGCTCCACGCTCTCACAGCTGTAGCTCCATCCTCCAGGCAGGGCTGACAAACTTCCTGTGAAGGGTCAGACAGTAACTATTCTCGTCTTTGCGGGTGATGTGGTCTCTGTCTTGACCCCTCCACTCTGTCGTAGGCAGCAGGCTGACACATGGGTGGGGCTGGGCTCTCGTACAACTTCACCTGCGCAAACAGGCAGCAGGGCCCTTGGGCTACAGGTGGCCACCCGTGTCTGCATGTGCGGTGGGTGCATACATGTGCATCAGGCACCCAATCTGCCTGCCTGCCCACAGCCACGGTGGCTTCTGGGGCGTGAGAGCAGGGCTTGCAGTTCAATGCCCTGTGGTCGACGTCCTGAGAGTCTTAGCACTTTAGATGGAATCGGGTTTCTAGGAGAATCTCATGAACAACGTACCCGGTTCTGTGCGCTCTGGTTCCTTCACCATCTCTCCCCAGCCCGGGGCAGTTCTCAGACCCTGTGCCCCCAGCTTCCTCTCTGGGCCCCGCCCTGTGACCTACTGTCCTCCCCCAGGGCGTGTGCGCTGCTGCTGTCCCTGTCCCTTCCCCTGGCAGGAGCCTGGAGGTGAGGCGGGAAGGCTGGGTTGAGTGTGTACACGGCTGGCATCTCAGGGCAGGACATGGAGGTGACCATCCTGACTGTAGTGGCTGCACCACAGGACACTTGGGGACTCAGTGGGCGGAGCACCTGGTCCCCGAGACCCAGGTACCAAGTGTGTCCTCATTGGAGGTTGCAATCGCTAGGGGTCGTGTGTCTGACCCCCTTGGGATGGGAAGGATGACTCACTCTGCCCCCACAGGGGGCTTATGCAGGTCCTCGGCTGCTGGTGGGGAGCACCCAGAAGCCATGGCGCATGTGCAGGCCGAGTCACGGGAAGTGAGTGTGGCCTGCACCCCCTTACCCTCCCGAGCATCCCTGGGTGGGGGGTGGGGGGGAACCACGACCCTGAAGAGCAAACAGGAAACGCCATGGCAGGTCAGGTGAGAGGGAGACCGCAGAAGAAAGAAAACGTTGGACCTTTTTGCACCTGGAACCTCTCTCTTCTCCTGGATCAAAGCTTAGAGGCTATAAGGAATCATCTGAGATTCACCTACCAAGATGGGAGGTGACGAAGGAAATTCCACTCAGTTCAGAGTCAGCGACCTTGCCTCGCCTGGGAGTAGGGGGTTTCCTGAGGCTGCCTCCATCTCAAGTGTAAGGCTCCGAAATCCCCATCAGGACACAGGGAGGGGCTATTGCGTGGCAGCCAGTCCCCTAAAATGGTTTCCCACCGGCCTGATTCATATTTCTTTCAAATGATGTCGCCTTATAAATAGAGAGCACAATTGAATTATTGTGCATGACGTTTAATGAAACAATAGACAAAGAAAGTTGAATATTTGTAATATTTCCTTTTCTTTCCTATTAAAGAAGGTAATACTATAATATTCTAACATCCCTACTTCCCTGATTTGGATAAACCAACTGTAAAACCAATATTGTTGAGCTGGTGAAAGACAGTTGAAAATGGATTGGGCATTAGATAATATTACAGAATTACTGTTAATATTCTTAGGTGTGAAAATGACCTAGTGATAATGAAAACGAGTATTTCTTGGATGCACACAGAAGTGCTGATGGGTGAATAGGACTGAGCTCTGTCTGAAATACTTCACCAACAGAAGAACTGGAGGAAGAGGACAACAAGAGAAAGAGGAAGACAGAGAAGAGAAGACGGGGAGACAAGGCTGGTGAGAATGAAGACAGAGGAAGGAGAGAAGATGGGAGATAGAGGAAAAGGACTGGCAAAATGACGATGCTGCGAAAATGAGGGAATTCATTATAATATTCTCTTCATCCCCATATGTGTTTTTAAATTCCCCTAAGGGGGTGTGTGTGTCTGTGTGTGTGTGCACGCTTATAGCCTACAAAAAGTTTCTAATAAAAATAAAGATGCAGCTTTTTCATTGTCTTCCTTACCAAATGTCTTTTTTTTTTTCCTAATTTTTTTATGTGCAAGCAGCATCCTGTGAGGCTGACAGGAGCTCTCTGAGCGGAAGAGTACAAAGGAGTTGATGGAAAGAAGAATCCACCATGGATTCCTGACACAATATCCATTTTACAAAGGACAGAGTGTGAGGAAGACACGGCCATTGTTACCCTCCTAACCTTTCTCCCTGATTATGCCGCCGCCAGGGCTCGGGTCACGGGGAGAATGACTTGGTGGCCGACCGTTTGCCCTGGTTTGTGTACATCAAAAAGCCCTTGTTCTCACCACATTCCAATCGCAGTTTCCCACCTCCTTGAGAAATGCACCAAGTGGTCAGATCAACACAAATCCGTGTTATGAGATGAGAATACGATGACTCCAGTGCCAGGAACAGCCTGTCCGGGCACCGAGAGAGCCAGCGTATTACCCTGAATGGCACGACGTGTAACACTTAAGAAGTTAAACACACTTCCTGTCCTTCGAGGTATTTCAGATGGGCGCTCCGCAGGCCCCGCTGCTGAAAGTTAAATGTAAATTTCTCTCCCGAGGGCAGATGGTGGCCAAGCCGAGGAGCATGTGGGCCTCACAGACAGAAGGTCAGGTCATGGCTGAAAGACCAAAGAACAATGGCCGCTCGGCTGCCCCCGGTCACCCTGGAACGAGACACCGCCGCTCGCTTCTCTGACACTGTCTGTTCACACAGAACAGGGACAAGGACTGCCTGTAAGATGTCCTCACACTCTGTCCAAGGACAGCGGTCACAGGGCCATCACACACACCACGTGACGGTCCGGAGGTTTTATTCCCAACTCTCTGATCTCCTAAAAATGCACGTCTCTATCTAAAACACTCAAAATCAAGGAGGGGTGGGGGTTGCGGGGAGAGGTCAATGGGGGGGGGGAGGAGACATAGGTAATACTGTAGGCAACACTTTAAACAATAAAGAATTAAACATAAAAAATAAAACACTAAAAATCATTGTAAAACTGTCAGGGTTTCATATCTACCAGGAATTGTTTACAAATGAAAACTGCTCCCTTTGAAGTCCTGCGCCCTTAGCCTCTGCACCATCGCCGGTTCATCATAGAAATAACACCAACAGACTAATACGGCAAAGACTCATTCACATGCTTTCATTTACAAGTGATATCATACTGTTATTGTTCCCAGAGTGTTTTCTCTCTCCAGAAGATTATAATGGAATTCTAAATAACTGAGAAACTCTTCTCTGCTAGATTTTTCAAGTTAGCCCACCACGTTGTGCTGGCAGATGCTGTAGAATAACACAAAAGGTATAGAATAGTGCCAGTGAGTCTGCAAACAGGACACTTTTTAAAAAGTCCTAATACATCAGCGAAGGGAAGCTCCGTGGTAGGTCTGGTACTTCTAACCTTCGGTCCCTGATAAAAAGGACTGTCAATTCCGTTACCAGGCACGCCCCCAACTGGGTGGAATAAAACAGTCCCGTTATTCATACATGTTCATCATGAAGATTCTTCTGAACACTGAGAACTCTGTAACGCTTTGACTACAGTGGGGCCAAAGCAGAACTGGCTTTTATTTGTTAAGATTTTCATTTAGTGCCAGGGATTGCCATTTTGACTTGACAAACTTTTTATCCTAAGTTTCATTATTACTTTCATGTTCAATATGTTGCCTAATTGTGTTTGTGTCCTAGAGACTCGATCGGGTTGAAAGGGAAAATATGTTGGTGAATATCAAAAAGCTCTGAACTGGGAACATGTTTGTTTGTTTTTCATTCACTTAGGGCTACCTACTTTTCCATTGCAGCAATTTCTTTAAAATGTTGATACTAAGACCTCAGTCTTATTTTAATTGAATGGATTTGTCACCCTGCTGTCTTTGAATGGAAAGAATTAAAGCCTTCAGTGTTCTGTATTGTAACATAAAAACAGAAAACCCAAGTCAGCCTGTTAGAACGGCCTCCCTCCACTTTTTGTCCACTTTGTCGATTAAAATTGGGGTATCTCTATGATCTCAACAAAATAACATAAAAAACATCTGCGCAGACTGAAATTGAATAAGCAGAATTCTTTGAACATTTCTAACTTCGCTGTTTCTAGGCATCCTGAGCAAACGTATTCAGGGTTATCTTAGTTAAAACTGGGTTTACTCTGCCAACAATCAATTTGATTGACATATTTACATATCAACTCATCTCATCTTACAAATTTTAAACTTTTTCACTTAAAATGGGATTCAAGTTGGCATCTTTCGAGAACTTTATGTTCGTATATTTTAGGTTCAAACTGCGCATTAGAACATTTTCCTTAACTTTTGTGAGTAATAGATCCACATATCCAAATGTATATTTATAACCTGTCAGAATGGAAATTTATATGCAGGCAGTTGTATCCTCACTACTTCATGTGAAAGGTGATAATTTTAGGCAACTAAAACTGAAATTCTTTTAATAGTATGAACGAAATCGTTCTATTAGAAACAATATAATAGAAATGAATGACTCAGGAATAAAACCACATCAGTTTCAGATAGAGCAGTGGTTCTCAACCTTCCTAATGCCACGACCCTTTCATACAGTTCCTCATGTTGTGGTGACCCCTAATTTCATTGTTACAAACTGAACATCATGAAAGCATAGTGATTCATCACAAAAACAATATGTAATTAAATATTTGTTCTCCGATGGTCTTAGGCGACCCCTGTGAAAGGGTCGTTCGACCCCCAAAGGGTTGCGACCCACAGGTTGAGAACCGCTGAGATGGAGCATGAATGTCCTCATTGCTGCTCCCTTGCACCATCGCTTACCTGGTCTTTCAAGTCAAGATCCCGTTTCGCTTTGGCTCTGTGCTCTCCGTGCTCCTTTTCGGCCTCATCCTTCTCCATTTTGATTTTATTCAATTGGTAGCGCATTTCCCCACACACCTGTTAGATGATAAAAATTAGATCAATAGCTGCTGGAATCTACCAGCCAATGCCTGCAATTAGATCTTTTGGTGCCCCCTAGAGGGCATGTAAATAAAAAACAGCACAGCTTTTCTAAGAATGGCACTTTTCCTATTAGAATATTCAGTATAATATTCTGTGAAGATGTGGAGGCAATAGCAGGTATTGCTGAACATAACAATTTCAAACTATAGATAAAGAAATGCACACTAAGGAATTTAAGGAATGTGTCCGTGATTTCTTATGTAAAATCATAGTTTCAATTGCATATTACCATCCAAAATGCACTGTCATCTCAATTTTAAGTAAAATTATTAATGAAAATATTAAGCTATGATATTATTCATTTAAATTGTTATGATTAAATGGACACTCTGCATTATAAAACCTTCCTTTAAAGACTTTAGAGGTAGGCTTTTATCTTAGACAATTTATAAAGAAATTTTTGTCTCTGCTATTAGACTATATTATTGATAGTTAGGTGTAGTAGCCCGTATTAACTGTAAGTTTTTTAGACGATGCCGATCTTATCATGCACAACACAGTATTTAAAATTAAGAAAGATTGCCTGGTAAAGGTCATGGGCTGGAACTAAGCAACATTCTGCATTTGTAACTGTAGATTTAGCATAAAAGGAAAGTGTACATTTAAGGGAAATAATTCTAATGTATCATTAAATAATGCACACACACAGTATCTTAAAAGTGTCTTTCCTACAGTTTTGTTTTCAATCTGTCATCTCTACAGACATGACTATATTTGGAAAATTCAATTAGCAGATAAATCTATGTAAAGAAATGATAAGCCTCTGGGAGAACTGAAAACCTGTAGAGAGATGGATGAATACACGATTCTGCTCAGTCAGCCCCTAATGGACAAAGACGAGTTTTAAAAATCGTGTGTCCTGCAATGGTTATACTCATCTGAAACCTTTTCAAATTTGGTATTTCTCCAAAAATGATTATTAGAATTTTGGAAATTAGTACCATACATATTGAGGTACTAGAATCTTAGAAAGCCTGTATGCATTTCCTATGTTCAAATAAAACATATTTTAAAAAGTAAACTAATCTTGTTCCAAAGTTATAGTGACAAGACAGAAAAAAACCCAATAAGCTTTCCCCCAGTGGCCCTCATAAGCTAGAAAAAGGATAAAATTACTAAAGATTCTATTTGAAATTCAAATGCTTTCAATGTGTGAGTTGATCTTTCCCATTTCAAAAAATTAGTAATTTCCATAAAGGCATTACTTTTAAAGCTAAATAACATTTAAAAATTAAGAGTGACAGAAAAAAACAGAGGGTCCCTAATTTACTTTCTTTCTTAGTTCTTCACTGTTTCAATCGATTTGATTTACATACACAAATGAAATGAAAATATCCAACTTGATAATACCAGAAAATAATAATTATACAACAATTATACAATCACGGTGTTTAAAACCCAACACCAACACAAATTATTATATGTAACAAATGTCTAAGCATTAGGTCTTATTGAAAATTATTTTATCCCTTCATTTTATTTTTAAAGTTCCCTTGCCTTACTACTTTCAGTTTAGCATTTGCTAAGTTTATCCATAACATTTGAATTCTATCTAAAATAAATCGACAAACTAAATTGGACCAGAATTATGTTATCTTGAGGTTGGAAGCAATCTCAAGGCACTACTCTGATGCCTGAGTCCCTTTGGACAATTATAAGGAAAGATTATGCTCATTCTTGACTGTACATATTTCAACAGAAAGTTCTTTGTCTACGATGAACTGAAAACTCCTACCATAGCTTTCATTTACAAATCTGGGTTAACCATTTCCATGCCTCTGCATCAGTTCTCCTACTTCTACCCCTCTCTTCACACAAACATATCTATTATGTGGGTAAATATGATATTTTTAAACATCTACATTTGCTAGCTTGATTAAAGTCAAGGAAGAAAAAGAAAAATTAGGCTCCCTTTCCTAATGTAAAGTTCACTTGAAAGTTCATTTTAATTACTAAATTATAAAGCAACAATGGGATACAATAGGTCAAAATTTAGGAAAATATGTTGAGAAATAAAATTCAGTATCAAAAAGGTATGCATTTTAAAATAATTTGTGAGTGTCATGGTAAAAAAGAATTCATTTAACTTATTACATCATGCATGCCATTGTTTAGTTTCTTAGTGTTAAAGCAATTGATTACTGAAATCTACATGGACTTCTAGTGTTTCTTAAATACATACCTTACATTAGCCAGTTAGGACTATTAAACATTTTAGTTCTAGATTCACAAGTTTGTGAAACCCTACAGCAAAAAAAATATGACTTTTAAAGTATAAATTTAAAAACCAATAAAATAATTAGCTGTAGTAGTAGAACCTTCGTTTTAGAGACCAAGTCTGCAAATTTCATGTTAAGCACATGCCTCATGTTGTAAATATATGTCTTTTGGTGTTATTATGAAGATCAGATGATCAAACCTATGCTATCTCTGGCAAAAATTACTCCTAATTAGCAAATTTAAAAAAAACAAGTTTTATCAAATATTCCATATTAAATAAAGCTTGCTTATTTACAAGTCTGTCTAGCCACTGACCTCTTAAGCTCTTTGAGAATATTATATGTGTCTAATGCATCTTTGTACAGTGTTTGCAGCAACCAGCCAATAGGAAGTACTGTACATGTTTGCTGAGTGACAATTAAGTGGACTTTTATTACATTGAAATCAAAAAACTTTTCTGCTCCAAACTTCTTTCTGAGCTTTGTGCATTAGGGCAAAAAGTTTCAAGGAAAATATTTAATACTTATTGAGCTAAAATGTGTCTTTGTACCTTTGTGGCTTCCATTTCCCGGGAAGCAAGCTGGTTTTGAATTTCTTCTAGTTGGTTCACAGCTGAAACCTTCTCCCTTGTAGCCTTTTCCACCTGGGCCTCCAGGTGGGCAATGTTCTGAGACAGAGCTAACATCTGAAAGAGGAAGTCGAAGTCCTAAGTGATAATGTCATTTGACAACTAAATATTAAAAATACATTGAGTTCAAGGTCTCAGCCACTGAGCTCTCTCAAAGTCCTTTCTCTGTGGATTGGGTATGTCCATTTCTTTGCCTCTTCAACTCATCTATCCCCCATGACTTAAGTATGTACCTCCCTGGTCTCTATCATCATTTTGGAAAACATGTGACACGATCAAATCAAAGTGTTGGTTGAAACTCTGCGGTGACTGACAGCAGACACCTAAGCTATGGGAGGGATGGACATGACTGCATTTCAGAGGAGGTGTCAGGGAATCAGAGAGCTCTCGAACCCTTCCCCACACACAGGGCAGAGAGGACTGGTGACTGGGAGAGCTGGAGGGGCAGGCACTTCAGAGAGAGCTACTGGTGGCCTATGAAATGCAGTCCCTCCCCCAACGCCACCGGAGAGTCCCCTCTCCGAGTCCCCCAGCCTTCCCATGACCTCCTGGCCCATCCCTCCCGTGGGAGTCCCCTCAGCCACATCTCCTCTCCTCCAGGAGGCTCCTCTGGCCCCAGCTCCCAGCTCAAACAGAAGCTTCTTCGTATACGCAGGGTGGCTCTTCAGGGAACCTGCACTGATGGCCCTGCCTGCTGTTTGCAGCCGCCACCCGTTGTCATGGGCTGCTGTCCACGCGGTCCTGGTGCTGGAGTATTTCCACTGTCACTTGGGCACGCGCTCCGACAACCACCTCTGTCCCCGGCACAGCACTTCTCACGCTGTTTCCAGTGTCTGTTTCCTCACCAGAACCTCTAAGATCCTCAAGGGCACGCTCCTTGAGAGGCACCAAATGTTTGCTAAATGCCCGAATAATTAGAATAATGGCTTTTCTGTGGGACTCCATGGGTACCAGGTTCTTGGTTTCTCTTCTCAGTGTTAGAACAGCTTTCTGGATCTTAGATTTAACCTTCATGGTTTCATTGTTTGCAATTACATTTTACTCTTCCCCACTAAGTAACAATTTCTAGGCTCTTAATTTCTTATTTGTATTAGCAGTTTTATTTTATTGCTTTATTTTTATTTTTAGAGAGAGGAAGGGAGAGAGGGAGGCGAGAGAGAGAGAGAGAGAGAGAGAGAGAGAGAGAGGGAGAGAGAGAGAGAGAGACATCAATTGGTTGCCTTCCATATGTGCCCAACTGGGGATCAAACCCGAAACCCCAGTTTTGTGCCCTGACCAGGAATTGAACCAGCAACCTTTCAATGCCTAGGCCGATGTGTAACCAACTGAGCAACACCAGCCGGGCTAGCAGTTCTAACATAAAGAAGCAATGCTGCCTCACCCCAGAACAAAACATAGAGACCTATCCATCAGTGTCTAAACTGTTAAAACACGGACTGCGAGCAAATTTGAAATAACACCATTTGAATTCGACCATTGCACAATGATGTGGATGTAAATTCAGTTTTACGATTAAAGCCAGTAACTAAAATTGTGTGATAAAACCAAGGCTGCCTTTGAAATACATAACTCCCGTTGCCACATATGAAAATGAGGAGTCCGGTAGCTATTTCCTAATCGAGACAGTAGTTGCAGTAACTTTCCCGGGGATTGTGGACAGTCGTCTATTTGACTTACGGCTGTTTATATGTCCTTCTTATCATCAAAAGATTGGCTACAAATCTGATTTGTACATAAAATTATCTTTACTAACGCCAAGCTGCAAACCATCCTTACGCACATTCCAATTCAAACCTAAAGGTCAGAAGAAGCTCAACGCAACAAATCAAAGATGTTCATTTAAGTTCCTTAATATAAAAATTCAAGTTCATGAATATCCATATTCTGAGTGTGTCATGATAGCTTCTCTGGAACCATCCAGCAACCATACACCAAACTTTAATGACCAGCTACTAAAAATCATATATGACGTATGCGGAGATATGTACGGTGAACATATGATGACTGTGTGGTTTCTGAAGTAACTGTTGGACATGTTAGGAGAATACTGAGTCCGTTTGCATGACAAGGCATGTAACACATCACACTCCCTCCACGTGGCCCCTTCCTCTGCCGCCCCCACTTCTCTCCTCTGCCCGTTACCTGTCTGCTCCCTCCTGTCACCCACCCCCCCACCCCCCCAGCCTCCCCTCCGAGTCACACCTTCCTCTCCCCACGCCCACCATCTGGAAGCCAGCATCGCTCTGCGGGAGCCTCTCCATCCACATCTGTCGCGGCGCCAGCAGGAACAGGGACAGCTGCGACACTGCCAGTGCCCAGGGCGGCGGATCAGGTAAGTCCTTTCAACTCTGACAGGGGCGAGCCAGAGACAAGGACACCCAGGTTGCGAGAGCCCGGAAAAATCTACACTGACTCAGCCCCTGGTGTGCGAGCACGGGCCAAAGCGGTGTACCCTACACAAGAGGCACAGGAATGAAGGATTCTAGCGAAGGGTTACTAGCCAGGGAACCAGGTAAGGAAATGCACGAACAATGGGAGCTCAGGACACAGATGACGAATGACCAATTGAACGCACAAGCCCGAGGGCTCGGTGCAACCAAAGACCATCACTTAAGACAACACACACACAGCACGGGCCTTGCGCGGGGGAAGGATTCAAAACCTGTCCGGGCAGAAGGCATCTGCGCACCTAGAGCTGCCCACACACATGAAACTGTTACATTAAAATAAAGGAGAGAGAAAACAAATAATAGAAAGAAACGAAGGAAGGAAATCTACAAGTGCAAGCAAGCATGCCTTGCTGCTAGAAGGCGGGGGAGCCAGGTCCGGGAGTAACTACAGGACACTTACAACATCGTGATTAACGGTCCATCTCCCTCTCCCATGAACTGCCTGTGAGAGGCAGTACGATACACATTCCCTCTTAATCCCCGGGAGGAAGAATTATATTGGATTAATTTTCAACTGAAAAAATGAGCTTCAGTAAATTAAGTAATTTGCCCAAGTCTACTCAAGCTAATAAATAAAAAATAGAGCTAGGCTTTCTATTCACATCTGTGCTTTTACTCACATGAAGACCCAGGAAATCTATCTAATAAGCCACAAGCTAAAATGTATGAAATCTCGACTCGAAGTCAGGTATTATATTAGGTTCTCTCAAAACCTTATCTTATTGAATCCAATCAATTCATTGAGTAGGTCAGCTCCATTATTTACCCTTGAAATTTAGAGGGGTCCAATTCTTCACGGTCACAGTCAGGTCCATTTAGATCCAACCCGAAGACTTTTACTCCAACGCCACTTTCTGCCATTTGCTGGTGGCAGCACCCACCCCAGCGCTGGGACCACTTGCAGCCTTTATTCCTGCACCTGTACTTAGGGCAGGGCCTACAGATCAAATGACAACCAAGACTTACTGAGGGCAAGACACATGACTCAGCCTCAGAAATACATTGTGTCTCTGTTGTCACCGTTATTCATGAAAGAATTGTCAGCATAAGAAAGAGGCTCTGTTACCTGTGGAAGCACCTGGAATAGTGCCTGGTGCATTTCAGCCCTCCCTTGTTCTTTCTTAGCAGGGACTCTCGTCAAGGTATTTTTACACAGTGAACTACTCAGCGAGGCAAAAGTTTCCACTTAACAACCAGAAAACAAAGATCTCCTACGTGTGAACAGTTGCCGGTCTTTGCAATCGATACCATTTTCTCTCAGCTTACGGTTTTACCTCCCTCCAGGCCTTGGTCATGTCGGTATGGCCTGAATTCCTCCCCATCCTCTGCATTTCTAAATCCCTCCTATTCTTTGAAACTCAGCTGAGATGCCACCTTCTCCGAGAAGCCTTCCATGATCTCCTGCAGACAGGGATTCTGATCCTCTGAATTCTCAGCATTTTAGTCATACCTTTCCAATGGTATGGGGCCTTTTTGCTGCCTCTTGTATTATATTCATTCATTCAACAAAAATATATGGAGCACATTTTATGTGAGAGGAATGTCCCAAGCTATGTGGGTGTTAAGAGGCCATACAATCAGGGGACTCATAGTAAACCAGGGGAGACACACAATTCAACAAGAACTTGCATAAGTTGAGTTTGGGAGCCTCTGGGAGAGGTTCCTAATTCATCCTTGGGAGGCTGTGAGAGGAGGGGGCACCAAGAAGGACTTTGAAGGATCCATTGGGGTGGGCAGAGAAAGACTCCTCCAGGCAGGAGGCAAAGCACAAGGAAGATCCTGAAATAAAAAGATAGCATGGCCCTAGCCGGTTTGGCTCAGTGGATAGAGCATCGGCCTGCGGGCTAAAGGGTCCCAGGTTTGATTCGGTCAAGTTAACATGCCTGGGTTGTGGGCTCGATCCCCAGTGTGGGGCGTGCAGAAGGCAGCCAATCAATGATTCTCTTTCATCACTGATGTTTCCATCTCTTTCTCCCTCTCCCTTCCTCTCTGAAATCAATAAAAAATATATATTTTTTTAAAAGGAGCATGCAATGCAAGAAAGAAAGGCAAAGGGAGATGAGACTGAAGAGCTGAAGAGGGGAAGGAAAATGGAGAACTTGATGCTGCGCTTGAGGATCCTGAATTTTAGCCAAGGGGTTGCAGGGAGACAAAGAATGTTAAAGTAAGAGGCAAGAGACTGCCATACTGAGATGTTTATTTTGGAAAACTGTCCTGGCTGTGGTGTGGAGAGCAGCCGGGAAGAGGTGAGACTGGAAGCAAGGGGATCACTCGGGAAGTAGGAATCAACAGAGGGTGAGCGATGGATCCTAGTGGGTTGGAGAGACAGACAATCTAAAATTCCTAGGGGCCTGACCGGCATGGCTCAGTGGTTGAGTGTTGACCTATGAACCAGGAGGTCACAGTTCAATTCCAGGTCAGGACACATGCCCAGGTTGCGGGCTCCATCTCCAGGAGAAGGTGTGCAGGAGGCAGCCGATCGATCATTGATGTTTCTCTCTCTCTCTCCCTCTCCCTTCCTCTCTGAAATCAATAAAAATATATTTTTAAAATAATCCTATATAATAAAAGGCTAATATGCAAATCATCCCCTCGACTAGGAGTTCAACTGGGAGTTCGACCAGGGGGCGGGGCCGCCAACCACCCGCGGACCTTCCAATCGGGGAAGGCCAGCCGGACCCTACCCGTGCACGAATTCGTGCACAGGCCTCTAGTAATAAAATAAAATTCCTAGGCGCCTGAATCTCTAGAACCCGGTGACATGATGACGTGGAGGGTCAGGGAGAGAGAGGAGACAGGGATGACAACAGCAAAATTTCTGAGCTGGCGACTGGATGAATGGTGGCTCCGCTAGGCGAGAAGAGATGGGAAGGAGGCTGGTTTGGGAGTTCCATGGAGAGCGGAAGATCTAGAACTCAACACCATATGCCTGGGATGAAGCCACTAGAGCTAAAGCCACCTGGATCTGCAGCTCTCTGCTGAGCTCTAGACCCTGCCTCCAGCTTCTTTCTGAGTGTGTCACCCTCGTTACCTCAAAAGTGCTTTAAACTCAGAGTGACTGAAAGACACACCTCATCCTTCTCTCAAATCAGGAATATCGACTCAGAGAAAGCAGAGAAAGAGGAAAACCTTTTAAGGGGAATGAGATCTAAAAACTACTCACGAACAACTGCACAAGAAGGCGTGCAGGCAGCATAGCAACGTAATTTCAGAGTTCATGACACTGCCTCACCGAAAGCCACTCCATGGCCTCCCATCACGTTTTGGGTGAAATTTAAAGTCCTCCACGTGGATGTTAAGGGCCTTATGATTTGGCCCCTCCACACTTCTCCCAACTCAACCTCCACACACTGTCCCTCACTTCCTATGCTCCAGCCACCCAGGTCTTCAAATTGATGATTGAGATCAGATGGATTATTCTATTTGCAAAAGTCAGAGAATATAACATTGAGAAACACATGGAAAGTAGAAAATGTTTACAAACTCTGAGTTACAAGAAATTTGACTCTTTCAAAGAGTTTAAAATTTAAAGTTCATTCAAGAGTTGCAGCCTACAGCCGGGCGACATGGCTAGGTGGTTGAGCGTCACCCTATGAAGCAGGAGGTCACGGTTCGATTCCCAGGCAGGGCACATACCCGGGTTGTGGGCTCGATTCCCACTGTGGGGCGTGCAGGAGGCAGCCGATCAATGATCCTCTCTCATCATTGATGTTTCTCTCTCTCTCCCTCTCCCCTCCTCTCTGAAATCAATAAAAATGTACTAAAAAAGAAAAGAGTTGCAGCCTACAAGCCATCGGCGACTCCACCGCAAACACTCCTGCGACGGGGACAATGGGCCGGACGCTGGATACCTTGGATCCCATGTCCTCGCGCTCCTTTGTCAGCTCGCTCTTCATCAGCTCTTTGTCGGAGGCCCTCTTCTCCTGCTGGGCGGCCAGCTCCTTCCCTAGCCGCTCCGCCTGCCTCTCCAGCTCACTCCTCAGCTGCTCACACTGGATTAGGGCCTGCAGAAGAAGACAGTAAATGGGAGCTGGGAATTTGGAAAAGTAAGGGGGAAATGAGACAGTTAGGCTTTATTTTTATTTAACACGTTAAGCGCCCAGTCAGTCACCGGTGACTGATACTATACTTTCCATCCGGAAGACAAAACAGGCTGGGCGCTTAATGTGTTAAAATACTTAAAACACACCATAGCCCTCGCCGGGTTGGCTCAGTGGATAGAGCGTCGGCCTGTGGACTGAATGGTTTCAGGTTCGATTCTGAACCTGAAGGGCACATGCCCAGGTTATGGGCTCAATCCCCAGTAGGGGGTGTGCAGGAGGCAGGTGATCAATGATTCTCTCTCATCATTGATGTTTCTCTCGCTTTCTCTCCCTTCCTCTCTGAAATCAATGAATATATATATATATTTTAAAAAGACACACTATAAAGTCAATTAGACAATCTGTACACTTACTAATATAACAGTATTCGAGTGTTACATTTATTTCGATTCACATAATTAAGGCTACATTAACTTTTATCAACTAACAAAATTCAGGAAACAGGCCTTGATAAAGGCCACTGATGAGTGAGAATCCTGAAGAAAGGGGATCAGAAAAATGAAGTGCTCTAGTACTTTTGATTATATATCATGTTTATACTACAAGAAATATGCAAGTATCCAATTTAACTGATTTTTCATTTGCTCATGGTTGAAGTTATTTGAATATTTTAAATGTTAAACATGAAATTTTTTTAAAAAGATGTTGAGTTTATCATTACATACAAGCATCTGGGTTTTTTTTTTTATCATTATTCTAGAAGCCCGGTGCATGAAATTCGTGCAAGGGTAGGGTCCCTGCCTGGCCGGCCATCAGGGCCTTCCTTTGTTCCCCGCCACCCCCTGGCGGTCAGCGCACATCATAGTGAGCAATCGGTCTTCCGGTCGAACTCCCACAGGGAAATTTGCATATTAGGCTTTTATATAGAGAGATAATAACCAAACTTCTTTAAATATAACTAAGGTCAAATTTGGTTCACTCCCCTTACACCCATAACTACAGTAAAAATTAGATAGTAATCAAAAGTGAAGATAAGGAAAGACCAAAACATCATATTTGTTTTATAAAATGAGAATTGCCATCTTCCATTTCTAGTTATTTAAAAATCCATAACTGTCCATTAGTTTAAATTTCCCATTCTGCAATTCCAGAAGTAGAAATTCTATAACTTTCTCTTGGCTATATTCATCTTATGTGTATATATAACACTCAAGAATAAATGATGACTTCAAAATCCCAATTTTTAAAAATTCCAATAAAATTAGGTTGTTTCACATAGAAAATCAGAGTCATCCTAAGGTGTCTTAGTTTTATTCCAGTGGCTCTTGCTTACAATATCACCTAGTCCATCCTCTATTTCCCCTGAAGACAGAGACCCACGCGTCATGTGCCTCACATACTGCGTGGTCATGAATCTCACCGTCACATTTGCTGTGAATGGAGACGAGTGGTGTCGGTGAACACCAACTGTAAGTTACGCATCGCTCTGCTTCCCTCTGGTGAGCGCTACAATAAATGCAGACGATAAATATCTAGGACATGTGAGCTTTCAGTCCTCAGCTGGGAAGTATTAAACTACAATTTCTTCCCAACTCTTCTGGAAAGTTCTGTATGCTCAGATGAAGTATGAGGTTAAAATTAAATTGTCTCAGATTAGCTGATAAGTAACCACAGTTACTAAAAAATGACTCTTCCCAGGGAACTAGTCCCAAGTCCAATTCGAATTGAGAATGTTTATAAAAAAATTTTTAATTAGATTTTAAGAGAAATTTTAAAGCACATTTTTCTAAAATTTAAGCCCCTGGAACTTGAAATATTATGAATTAGAGACTTTTGTGCTTCAGGCTTACAATTCCTCTTGTGAAAGATACCTTATATGAACCTAATACAAATGTTCATAACTTCTGCTAATATAATGAAAGAATAAAAGTACTATTGAACAAAAACTGAGGAGTCAACATTTTTTAAAAATATATTTTTATTGATTTTGGAGAGAAAGAGAGAGATAGAAACATCAATGATGAGAGAGAATTATTGATCTGCTGCCTCCTGCCTGCCCCCTTCTGGGGTTCAAGCCCACAGCCCGGGCCTGTGCCCTGACCAGGAATCGAACCAGTGACCTTTTGGTTCCAGGGCTGACACTCAACCGCTGAGCCACACCCAGCAGGGCCGGGTATCACCATTTTTAAGTGCCGAAACAGTGGAAGGGGGTGCAGACGATCCAAAGATCAGGCCGACGCGAGGAGCGAAAGATCCATTCCGGAAGCCAATCAGCTGAGGGACAGGAGGAGGGAAGGATGCTGACAGTGAGCGGCCTGATGCCAAGAGGATGCTCTAAAGCAAGACGACAAGCAAGAAGCTGCGAGCCACCCAAACAAAACCACGGGGCCTTCGCGTGGGGTTGGCCCTCTGTTCGAGGACTGGCCACCTGTGATGAGACACCAAACCAAAATACTGAGTAAACACTGGTTATTGATGACTCTTGGTGTGTGACCAATGATTCCATAATGCAACACAGCATTTATTTTGTTTTAATTGTAGTAGACACGCCGGGTCAAAGTTAAAAAAAATATTAAGGCTTAAAACTATTGGAATTAAGAAACAGGTTTACTCTTTCTCTTACAATGGACATCGCCTACGAGAGATTTGGTTCTACTAAGTAAATCTTTATAGCCCTGGCCAGTGTGGCTCAATTGGTTGGGCACTGCCCTGTGCACAGAAAGGCTGCTGGTTCGATTCCCTGTCAGGGCACATGCCCGGGTTGCAGGCACCATCCCTGGTAGGGGAATGCAGGAGGCAGCTGATCAATGTTTCTCTCCCTCTCCTGACCCCATCTCCTCTCTCTAAAAATCATTTTTTAAAAAATTTAAAATTAATTTAAAAATAATTATGTATACAGCATTTCCATTAAAGCTTCTTTCTTTTAATTCTAGGGTTCCAGCTCCCAGTTTTCGGAATCCCAGCTGATTCGGAACGCCCTGATTATACCCATCTAACCATTCGGTGAAGGCATAACCAAATGCTCAAAGGCCAGGCCAGTGAATAGTCAATCACGATGAACTGATAGGTCATCAGAGGTGACTGCGTTAATGTCGGGCCTGCAGACCCCATTTCTCCAGCAGTGGCCAAGAGGGTGCCTTCCCCCTCCCCCCCGCCCCAGCACCCCCTGGAAATGGTGGAAATGGCCGCAGGTCTGAGGAGCTGGGACACTGTGCTTCCCCACCCAGTACCCTCAGTCCTCAGGGACCTTCTCTCCTGGGAAATTCCTTCATCTGTGGTCATTCTTGATATTCCCAGTCCTGGTCTATTAAACCACAGAGCATGCATTACTTATCTTAATGCGTCAGAACATTTTCTAAAAGAAATGTCTATCTAGTTCACTCCATTTTTATTTCTTTCTTTTTACATATATTTTTATTGAGTTCAGAGAGGAAGGGAGAGGGAGAGAGATAGAAACATCAATGATGGGAGAGAATCATTGATCAGCTGCCTCCTGCACACCTCACACTGGGGATCGAGCCCACAACCCAGGCATATGCCCTGACCGGAATCGAACCAGGACCTCCTGGTTCACAGGTCGATCCTCAACCACTGAGCAACACTGGCTGGGCAGTTGACTTCATTTTTAAAATAGGAAACCTATTAATAAAAAAAAGTCCTTCCCAACTGCCAGGGTCAGGCTCCTAGAAACCCTGTGATAGGATTCGTCATTACAGAATTAAAGATCTAATGAAAGATACATTGTTCACACTTATGAATATAAACTTTAAAACATATGAAAATGTTTTTATTTTTTATGAAATAAAGCCCACAAAATAAAAATGGTTACCAGTGTGTTTTAAGCATTTAACCTATGAATGGCATCAATACTGATATTTCATTTATAAACTCTCGCTTACCAGAAGCCTACCAACCAGCCTTATCCCTACCTCCCACGTTCAAGATACTTATCACTTGTTTTTGTTTTGTTTTGTTTTGTTTTGTAAGTATCCAGAAGAATTATTGTCTATGCCTGTGACTGCAATCAAATATTCAACGCTTTTGTGATTTTTTTTTTTTTTAATTCAGGTTTCTCATTCTTGCCTTTCTGGTTCTGCCTTAGTCCAGGAAAAAAATAATAATTTGGATCCTTGAAAAGGAGAAAAAAGTAAAAAGGTTTGGGGGTATTTATTCAACCTACTGCGTTGGTATTTTTGAAAAAAAAACAACACACAATCTTTCTTGGCAAGGCTATGTCATTTATATAGGCTTAGGGCAGTGGTTGGCAAACTGCGGCCCCTTGAATGTGGCTCTTCCACAAAATAACACGTGCAGACGCACACGTACAGTGCAATTGAAACTTTGTGGCCACACTCAAGGGGCCAAAGAGCCGCATGTGGCTCACGAGCCGCGGTTTGCTGACCACGGGCTTAGGGTAACGTCATGCCGAAGCCGACAGCCGCCCTTCGGAAAGAGGCAGGCCGGTCGCGGCGGGCCGATCACCTTCCCGCCGGTAGCTCTCCCGAGCAGCACTGAAAAGCCTCTGCTTTTTCACCCTCGTTTAGTCCCAGGTTAACTTTTTTGCCTCTTTTAAGATTATCTCCACTATAATGATTTGCAATTTTCAAAGAAAAACAGAAACATTTACTGAGCACTTGCTGTGAGCCAGGCACTTTGCTAAGTGGCTTCCGTGGGTCAAGGTCTTTAACCCCCTCACTGAGTGTTAAGCGCTTCTTATCGTTCAGTTGAAGAAACTGAAGCTTGAAGCCGTTAAGTTAACTTGTTCAAGATCAAACCCCAAGAGTGGCAGGTGGAATCTGGTCCAAAGCAGCTCTACAATGGAATCTATGGGCGGAAATTATGCTTTTCTCTTTTATAAATCTGTTGTCTCATACATTTCTCAGGTGTTTTCACTGCCACTATACTGTATATACGTAACATAAAATTACTTTTTTACTTACTTGCATGCACTATGCAAAGTC